TGTTTGTATTAGTTCTTGCCGGTTTCTTGTTATTTCCATCCTGCAGGAAGAAAGGACAGAAAGGTAGATACAGATAGGCCTTTCTTCTTCTTCTTCTTCTTCTTTTTTTTCTTTTATCCTTGGGTAGATGGATTTTTTTCACAAAAAGTAGGTTTTTGCAAGTTATAACTATGGTATTGCTGATTTTGCACTCAGGGGAAGGAACAAATGAAGAGATTCTGTTAAGAAATTTTTTAAGCTCAAGGCGTGGCCATATATGATGGAGGAAGGTATAAATGAAGTTAATGAAGACCACAGTGGAGAGATCAATTTCTTTGGTTTAGCTGAAACACAGGGTGGAACAAACAATTTCTTTGGTTTAGCTGAAACACAGGGTGCAACAAACAATTTCTCTGATGCAAAGAAGCTTGGAGGAGGAGGTTTGGTCCTGTTTATAATGTCTTTAAACAAATAATCAACCTTAGAACAATAGATTTACTTCTGGAATTGTATGACAAATTTACATTATGCTTTTAGGGGAAAATGCCTAATGGGAAGGAAGTAGCAGTCAAGAGCCTTTCAATGAGATCGAGTCAAGGTCTTCAAGAGTTCAAGAATGAAGTGAAGTTAACCATTAAACTTCAACACACAAATCTTGTGAGGCTTTTGGGCTTCTGCTTGGAGGAAGATGAAAAGCTTCTTGTCTATGAGTACATGGCCAACACTAGCTTGGATGCTTTTCTCTTTGGTTAGCTCCTTTCCTTAGATTCCAACTTTCCAAGTCTTAATATTATGTTGTTTGCTTTTCTATTTTCAATGGCCAACACTGCTTTCAAAGACAGATTCAACAAAATGCAAGCTGCTAGACTGGTAGACACGGGCAAATATCATCAATGGGACTACAAAAGGCTTGCGGTGTCTGCATGAGGACTCTAGGCTCAAAATAATTCATAGGGATTTGAAGGCAAGCAATATTCTATTAGTTGATAAGATGAACCCCAAAATATCAGATTTTGGCACTGCTAGAATTTTTGGAGGCAAACAAATGGAAGCCAACACTAAGAGAGTTGTTGGAACATAGTAAGTGTTTCCCTCATTCTATTTCATTCTAATCTTTGGAATTTGTTAGAAACTTATATTTAAGGCATCTAAAATGCTTTCAACAACAGTGGATACATGGCACCAAAATATGCACTAGAAGTGTTGTTTTCAGTGAAATCAGATGTCCATAGCTTTGGAATCCTAATGCTAGAAATATTAAGTGGTAAAAAGAATAGGGGATTCTACCACTCAGATTGTGGACAGAGCCTTCTAACATATGTAGGCCTCTCCTCTTTTCTTTATCTCCCTGAACTTATGGTGCACAAACAAACATCAGTCTTCTTTACCTACCTTGTTGGGAACCATTATCATGCGTGATGCTGAACAGGCATGGAAGCTGTGGAATGAAGGTAAATCACTGGAATTGGTAGATCCAAACATTGTCAACGACTGTCCACTCCACGAGGTTCTAAGAAGGGTGCAAATTGCATTGCTGTGTGTTCAGGATGACCCTGCACTTCGCCTACCATGTCAGCAGTTGTTCTCATGCTTGGTAGCATGTCAGTAAACCTCCCCCCAACCACCAGCACCTCCAAGCACTTGCTGCAGTCAGCTCCACTGATATCTCTGGTGCACTGAGCCATACTATACCTCCTTCCACTCTGACTCCAGCACACCCCCCTGAAACATTAGAGGCTGATTTGCAGCCGCGGCTGCAACCCCATTCATGAAATTGAATCCATGGGATGCAACAGATGGGTGATCAAAATTGGTGTCATTGAACATCTGGGTGTATTGAATTAGCTTGAAATTTGGTATTCGTTGAACTTTAGTCAGTACTACTCTGTTTTATATACATATAAAGGGAAAGCTTCTAAATGGATAAGAAATAGCTGTGAAAAGGCTATCTACTGATTCTGGACAAAGAAATTTATCTTCTTTTTTTTTTGGATAAAATGTGAACCTTATTATCCAATATAACTGTTTGTACAATAAAAGAATTAATAAGCTGCTACAAAGCAAAAGAAACTATAAAAAAAAATTGATAAAACTATACAAATAATACAAAAAGATTAGTATTTCACATCTGTCTCAAGACCCCATTTGCATGCAATAGCAAATTATGTACTCTTTAAAATTTAAAAATTTTGTACTCTTTGTGGCCAAACTTCAACATTGGAATATGACCAGACTCGTTGGTTTTTGCTTGGAAAGAAATGAAGGGCTTCTCATCTACGAATATGTGCCAAACACAAGCCCTGAATATATGCCTTTTAGACTTTGCTCTTGATTCAGATTTCAATTTTGTTCAAGAAAAATTACATTTGAGTTTTCATGTTTC